TGGAGGCATCACATTGCCTGATTTCAAGTTATACAAGCCTAATTAATGTAACCAAAATAGCATGGTATTGGTATAAAAATAGACACATAGGTCAGTGGAAGAGAATAGTGAACCTGGAAATAAAGCCACATACTTAAAGACTAAGATGGCCCACAGTTGTAGCTGCCCACCATATATATATATATTTTTTTTTTGATTGAACATATATATAATGTACATTTTTGAACAGTTGGAAAAACAGTGCTTTGTATCTTAGACTGGAAAAGTTTTCCTGAAGTTCAGAACTTCTCTTGGATGTGATGGTTGACTCCTATGGCAATGAGATCCTGGGGCCTCCAGAGACAGTGCCTCCATCTCAGTAACTGCCACTTCTGCATGAGATAGCTGGCTTGTTCCCTGGAGAGTCAGGGGATCTAACTGAGTGGAGTGATGAAGAAGGACAGGAAAATACCTTAGCCATAGCTGAAATTTGGGCAAAGCCCCAAACTTTAGAATATCCACTGGGGGGTGGGGAGGATGGAGGTGGTCAATGAATCAATAAATCTGAATGGGTAAGAGACATATGAATAAGCAGTAGTACAACTTATAAACTTCGGCACCTTTGTTTGGCAGACTAATCTGGAAATGTAACCCTACCTTCCATTCCAAACTCCTATAAGAGGAGACCCAGGGTCAACAAATTTCTAATTAAAGTTGGTGCTGATTCTTCAAAGTGACAGAAAAGCAGGGATCTCCTGTTCTTATATGATAAGGCCAAACTTCCTTTAAGAAAAGAAATATTACTTCATGGAGGAAGGATTAGACTGTGTTGCTTCCGAGGAAACTGAACGCTGCTTATTGCAATGTGTGCTTGCAATCTAGGTGACATAGCTCACGTTGGTAGGAAGACTGGACCGCCATTTGGGAGATTCACCTTCAGACTTATTTACGGGGCTGGAGCCCATTATCCTCTGGAACCCCAGTTACTGAGTACTTATTCAGATGAAGTCTGAGGCATTAGAATATGGAATAATAAACCAAAGGATGAAACTTTTGATGGGAAATGGTTGAACATTTCTGAAGAAGGGAGATGAGGCCACCCGACTGAGAGGTTTGGAAGAAAGAAATGCAAGGCTGAGAGGAGGCATCAGAGGAGTAAAGGGAATGTTTGCCTGTGACACCTAAACCTAGAAGGTCCCCCAACTCCTGGGTGGTTTGTCAGCCCTTTTAGAAAGATCGCTGGAGAGCCACCTAGTGGCGGCTGACAGCAAAGGTTGGCCAAGATAGGGCTAACCAAATATGCCCTGTTTATTTGTGAGCTTTATCAGAGAAAGGATCTGTTTCTATTTGTATTCAACCAAGCTCTCAGACACTTGGACACTCTCTGGGTCAGTATATTTTAGAGGTATCCGGTATGCACAGGGCAGTGTCATTCTAGGGAAAGGCCTGTGTCAGTACCTGATTTCTGTGCCATGGCTGAGGGGAGATGCTGCCTCCATATGCAGGCAGGAACCTCCACATAGTCCACCAAGAATAGGCTGCCTGGCCACATGGCCAGGATGACCGCCTCTCAGCATCTGAAATGTAACTTTGTGCTCAGCAGAAGGCTTCAGTTCCGTCACATAGTCCGACTGCATAAAAATAGAGTGGGAGTGGAGTGCTCTGGTAAAGGGATAAAAGGTGTGGTTAAAGACTGGGATGCCATTTTAATGTGGCTGGGCTGTCTGTTTAAAGGAGTTATGCTGAGTCCGACTCATTGAGGAGGCGTTTTATTGATTTTGCTTTTATTTTTTAATGAGAGAGACTTGAGACTTGTTTTATAGGCTAAGGGTAAAGACACAGTGAGGTCCTGTTGCTGCTATAACAAGTGAATAAAGAAAAAAAAAGAGTCACAGTGAGAGTCAGTGGCTCAAGATTCAGGAAAGAGAGGGCATTACTGATAGAGGAAATGACCATAAAAGGTTGTATTTAGAGTATAGCACCTTTCCCTAGAAGCAGACCAAAGAAACAAAAAAGAAAGAAGAAAAAAAAATTAATAAAAAAAGAAAAAAAAATAGAGTATAGCACCTTTTCAGAAAGGAAAAATTAGAGATTCTTCTAAATTATAACTTAAGACAGTTATTCCACAGTTTCCTTGGGAAATATTAATAAAGCATTACAAAGTGTCAATGCTTTCTCAGGTTCATTTAGGTTATCTTTTAACTTATCCCAAACAAATACAAGCAGCAAAGAGCCCACTGGAATACTGGTATGGAGGAGAAGGGAATTGTAAAATAGCTAAGTCACCTAAGATTTATATCAAAAAAGTGTGTCAATAAGTTAACAAATTGAGAAGCGATTCACAATGAATAGGGCACCTAATGTTGATGAAAGATGAACAGGATATTAAATAAGTCATTGAGACATTGAAAAGAAACCAGGTTAAAAGGCACACAGCAAGAGCTATCCATCTATCGTTATAAAGTATATTCATTGATTATTTACACACAGTAACACTAACCTTTAAGCAGCACATCTGTATATTTCACTTTTTAAATCCCCTTCTTACTGTAAAATGTGTTCTCATTAAGTGCCTTCCCTAAGATCACTATATTCCTGAAGCCACTAGATGGCCATAGTACAGACACAGGAAGTCAAGTCCAAGAACCAGCAGTGTTAATTTAGGATAGTATAGCCTCCATTTCCTCACCTACAAATCAGAGATAATAATAGTACTTAAGTTCATAGGATGGTTGATTGTGAGAGGTAGTTGAGAAGGTATATACATGGCTTATTAAATGGTAGACAGCATGTATTATTATATATATGAATTTCACAGGAAGTTTGTCATGCTCCTTCTTCATATAAAGTTAAGGAATAATGAATAGTCAGGTAAGAGTGAAGACACAATTTGTGCATTTCTATCAAGGATGAAAAGCTCTGTGGCAGCAGAAAATAATTTGAGAGAGAGATAGAAAAATGAGTTGGTGTACACAAGGAAGGAGAAAAGAAAACCAGTGCAGATGCAGGCAGAGGCTTTGGGGGAAGAGAAGATTGGACTGAGGAGAAAATAATCCCAGCACTTTGGGAGGTGCAGGCTGGAGGATCCCTTGAGTTCTCCCAGGAGTTCCTGTCTCTACTTAAAAAAGATTTCTTTTAAAACAGTATAATGTGGGCATCTACCCAAATGATCCAATGACACTCTATAAAAAAGACACCTGCACTCGAATGTTTATAGCAGCACAATTCATCATTGCAAGGCTGTGGAAACAGCCCAAGTGCCCATCAATCCAAGAATGGATTAATAAAATGTGGTATATGTATACCATGGAGTACTATTCAGCTCTAAGAAACAATGGTGATATAGCACATCTTATATTTTCCTGGTTAGAGCTGGAACCCATACTATTAAGTGAAGTTTCCCAAGAATGGAAAAACAAGCACCACATATACTCACCAGCAAATTGGTATTAACTGAACAGCACCTAAGTGGTCACATAGGTACTACAGTAATAGGGTATTGGGCAGGTGGGAGGGGGGAGGGGGGCGGGTATATACATATATAATGAGTGAGATGTGCACCATCTGGGGGATGGTCATGATGGAGACTTAGACTTGTAGGGGGAGGGGGGGAAATGGACATTTATTGAAACCTTAAAATCTGTACCCCAATAATATGCTGAAATAAAAAAAAAAACAGTATAATGTAGTATGATACTTCCCGTGATAGTCTGGGAATGCATTTTTAAATAAGATTTAAATGTCTTGTTAAATTTGGGCCTGATAAGGCATTTTGACAAGGCTAGGACAAGGGATTTATAAACATATCTAGAAAGACACATCGGGGATAAATGAACATAAAGTAAAAACAAAGGATAATAAAATGGTGTCTTAGTAATTTCACTACATATTCACCTTAAGGCTTGAATGAAGATGACACATACACACAAACACACACACACAGAGTATCCTTTTTGAATGAGCTTGGAGGAAAAACCAGAAAAAAGAAAAGCAGTTCTTGACTGGAATGTTAAAAACCCATTTAAAAAAAATCCTTTTATTCCTATTTAATAAGTGAAAAATCAGACATAGTAAATAATATCATATTTCTATCTTGCTTTTTTGGGGGGGAGGGAGACAGAGTCTCACTCCGTTTTCTGAGCTACAGTGCCATGGTGTCAGCCTAGCTCACAGCAACCTCAAACTCCTAGGCTCAAGTGATCCTCCTTCCTCAGCCTCTTGAGTAGCTGCAACTACAGGTGCTCGCTACAACACACAGCTAATTTTCTGTTTCTATTTTTTGTTGCCCAGCTAATTTTTTCTATTTTCAGTAGAGACAGGGTCTTGTTCTTGTTCAGGCTGATCTTGAACTCTCGATACTCTTGACCTCAAGCAATCCTCCTGCCTCAGCCTCCCGGAGTGCTAGGATTATAGGCGTAAGCCACCATGCCTGGCCTTGCTTTCCTTAATATATAGCACAGTAGCTGGTGTAAATGTATAATAAATAGTTTTAATGATAATGTAGAAGATAAAACTGTAGGCTATAGAGTCCGACTAAGGCCAAATCCTGACTCAACTAATTCCTGGCTTTGTGACCCACAGCAAATGATGTAATCTCTCTGTACCTCAGTGTCCTCATTTGTAAAGTGAGGATCATAATAGTGTCTACTTCATAGGGTTGTTGTGAAAATTAAAATAATTCATCCATGTTCTGAGTGCCTGGCATATGGTAAGCACACAATGAATGCCAATTATTATAAGTATTAAATAGTTGCCTTAGCCTTCAAGGAGTCCTAGGAGGTAGTGGCTCTATCCAGGAAAACGTTGTAACTCAAACATGTATTAGTGTATTTAAAAAGGAAAAAAAGAAGTCTTAATTATAGCTAAGATTATTTGGTTTGTACTGGGACAATTTCTGTCACCCATCCTGACTAATCTTCCAAAAGATCTTTAGTAGTGAGGCATATAAATAGCAATTCTAGTGGTCACACAGCCCCAGTTCTATCCTTGACCCAGACTAAGAACTCCCAGCTCTATCCTACCTTGTCACGGACAAGCATGATGCTGACCAAAGTGGTCTCCCGGGTTGTTACAAAAAGGCTTCATTCTTCTTTATCCATACTTTTCTATCCCTAGTAGGACTGAAGATGGTTGGATTCAGGTGGGAGGGGCCCTGGCTGCCAGGATCCCTAGCAGCCCACTCTCCCCATGCAGCCCAAAAAATAGGTTAGGTGGCTTTTCTCTAGGACGCTCTGTCAAGAGGCATGTGGTTCACACAGTCAAGCTCATTGTTAAGTCACTGCTTGGGTGTTAACTGTTATTACCTTACCACTGTAGCCCCAGTGCCCAGCCTGGTGTGCAGCACACAATAGACACTGGCAGAACTGAACTAAAATGAATGGAGAGAGTCTGCCTGTATTCCTATTTACTTCAACCCCTAGAAGCTTCCCATATCATCCATTATTGTCCTAATTCTTATCACTAGTGCTTCATAAATCCCCTAGTCTAACCCAACCTTCGTTCCTCAGCACCCTTCAAAGCCTTTTACTACATTCTTTGGACCTCCTGACACATAACCTGCAAACTTCCCCTATATCTGAAACCTCTCTTTGAATGCCTTCTCCACTTCCCTGCTTAAGCTGAAGCCTCACTCTCCTGCACTTTCCCAGTATGTCTCTCAGATAGAAGCTATTTGTTTCTCACACCCCCTTGCATCCCTATAGCTGCTTCCAAACCATGTCTCCTCCTTCTTTCAAAAACTCCAGTTCCTTTGAAGTTCTTGTCATGTAGTTGTACTACCCTGTATCAATCAGCATCCTCAATAGGATATAGATAGCATACTTGGATTGGGTTAACTTGAGAATGATTTAATAAACAAAGGTGTGAATGAGGTAGGGAAAACACAGGGATAGTGCAGTAACCCAGGGCTAGTAGCAGTGGGTACTTTTAGGTAGATAGCGAGGGATTTCAGGTCTCCTAGGGGAGAAAGTGGGTGCTGCTTCAGTTCACCCTCTACCCCCATGGGCTTTCAGAGAGGCTCATGGGAGATCTGTATGCACAGTAAGACTCAGGTCCTATAACTCCCATCTGTCCACCAAAGTGGTTCTATGATGACATCTGAAGCACAGAGAAGTCCCAATCCAGGAACTATAAAACAAGACCTAGACCATAACCAGGGTCTTTCTTTTGCTATGACAATGGGTCTAGTTGTCTTCTGTGGCATATGTATCTTGCTCTGTAAACCTATATCTTGCTCTTGCTTTATAATCCTATTTTTCTCTCCTCAATAAACCCCGTTTTCGTGCTTACCTTGCTTTCAGTGTGTCTGGTCATTTTTCAAACAAGAGTGCACCAAGAACCAACATTTCAGACTGTAACCTGACAGTATCCCCCCAGGCCTGAAGGAACATGGAAAGGGAATGCTAGGACCCAGAAGGAGAGATGTGTATAGAGAAGGTCACATTGAAAAGAACAAGGACTTTCAGTTGAGTGACACAGCCTTCCCTCCATCAGATCTTCTACTGAACATTCCCATTGGCCAAACCCAACCAGAACTAGAGGACAAGAAAGCCTGTTGATTTAGTTCATCAATTTCAGCTAACATGGTACTGACTGAAATGGTGAAGAACAGAGAATGGAACTAGAGGGACAAATGGAAGATATCTAGCTCATACCTAATGCTCTTTTCTTTTTCTTTTTCTTTTTGGAAGGAGTTGTTTTGTTTGTGTTGAGACAGGGTCTTGATCTGTCCCCCACGCTAATGTGCAATGGCATCATCATAGCTCACTTTGACTTCAAACTCCTGGGCTCAAGCAATTCTCCTACCTCAGCCTCCCAAGTTACTGGGATTACAGGCATGTGCCACCATGCCTGGCTAATTTTTTCTATTTTTTGTAGCGGCGGGGTTTTACCCTTGCTCAGGCTGTTCTTGAATTCCTGGGCCTTAAGCAATCCTCCTGCCTCAGCCTCCCAAAGTATAGGATTATAATTTTCCAATCTTCTTGATGTCTCCAATCTACTGATATTACTATCCTTCTAATATTCATTCACTCTCCCCTCTCTACTCCCATGTCTTCACTTTCTACTATGTCCAAACGAAATTCCACAGACCTCACTCCCTTGAAAAGCACCTTCTCTGCTTTGTATTCACCTGTCAAAACTCTAACTCTAGTTACTGCCAACTGTCTTTGCCTGCTTAGTGCTGCTAAGACTGTGCATACCTGAGACTGGGTAAATTTATAATGAACAAAAATTTATTTCTTGTGGTTCTGGAGGCTGGGAAGTCCAAAATAGAAGGGCCAGCATCTTATGAGGACCTTCTTACTGCATCATCCCATGGTATGATGAAAGAGAACAAGAGATGGAACTCATAGCCTCAAGCCCTTTTACAATCAGCACTAACCCGTTCATGCGGGTTGAGCCTTCATGACCTAAACACCTCCCATTAGGCTCCATCTCCCAACATAATTGCACTGGAGATTAAGTTTCCAACACATGCTTTTTGGGGGGATGCATTCAAAGTATAGCACCAACTATCTGCCTTTTCTAGTGGAGGGAAAATACATAAAATTATGCTGGCTGGTTTCTCACTAAATTTGTTATCACAAGCTTCAAATGATATTCTTATCTGCCCAGAAATCTTACACTGATCTTGGTGAGTAAGCCACTTACTCTTCAAGATTATTATTTCAAACCTTCTCTCCTCAAGCCTCTCACACTGTACTCCTAGTCTCCACACTCTCGTCTACTCACCACAAATTATACGAACCTTCTTGCATCTGCATCCATATCCCTGTCCTCCATCCTGTTACCATCGTCCTCTCAGAGTTCAGCCTCTCCACTGGTGCTCTAGATCCCAACTCCTTACATCTTTTGAAGAAATTTATTGGCTGGGCGCGGTGGCTCACTCCAGTAATCCTAGCACTCTGGGAGGCTGAGGCGGGCGGATTGCTTAAGGACAGGAGTTCAAAACCAGCCTGAGCAAGAGCGAGACCCCATCTCTACTATAAATAGAAAGAAATTAATTGGCCAACCAATATATATATAGAAAAAATTAAGGCTGGGTGTGGTGGCTCACGTCTGTAATCCTAGCACTCTGGGAGGCCGAGGCGGGCGGATTGCTCGAGGTCAGGAGTTCAAAACCAGCCTGAGCAAGAGCGAGGCCCTGTCTCTACTATAAATAGAAATAAATTAATTGGCCAACTAATATATATAGAAAAAAATAGCTGGGCATGGTGGTGCATGCCTGTAGTCCCAGCTACTCAGGAGGCTGAGGCAAAAGGATCACTTGAGCCCAGGCATTTGAGGTTGCTGTGAGCTGGGCTAACGCCATGGCACTCACTCTAGCCTGGGCAACAAAGCAAGACTCTATCTCAAAAAAAAAAAAAAAGAAAGAAAGAAAGAAAAAGAAATTTGTTTCTGTGCTCATTCCCTTTTGAGAGACAGAGTCCCAGTCAAAGCTCACTGCAGCATCAAATTCCTGGGCTCAAGAGATCCTCCTAGTCAGCCTCCTAAGTAGCTGGTACTAAGGGGTGCAAGCCATCACACCCAGCAAACTTTTTTTTTTTTTTAATGTAGAAACAGCATCTCGCTATGTTGCCCAGGCTGGTCTTGAACTTCTGGCCTCAAGCAAACCTCCCAACTCAGCATCCCAAAGTGCTGGCATTACAAGCATGAGCCACCAAGCCTGGCCCTCTATTTGATCTTTTTAACATCAACAAATATATTAAGTAACTCCCATCTTAAAAAATGTTTCCTTGATTCCAAATTGTTCTCCATCACCCACCCAGTTTATTCATTCCTGTCAAAGAAAACATTGAAATGACTGTCCAGAGAGACTGCTATTCTTCATTTCCCATTTTTTCTTCAGCTTATTTGCACCTGCCTTCCATCACCACCTTGTTTAGATCCTCAATGACTAACCTGTTCCCAAGACATCTGATCTCATCTATTAATAGCATGTGACATAGCTGACTGTACTCTCATTCTTGAATCATTTTCCTTTCTTGGTTTTAGTGGACATCATTCTTTCCTAATTTTCCTCTTATTTCTCTGACTTTTCCTTTTCCATATTCTTTGCTAGTTCAATCTCCTCTACTAAACCTCTAAATGTTAGTGACCCCACAGTCTTCTCTATCCTGCATTGTCTAATACAGCAGCCAATAGCCAAGTGTGTCTATTTAAATTTAAAATAATTCAAATGAAATAAAAATTCAATTCCTCAGTTGCACTAGCCATATTTCAAATGCTCAGTAGGCATACGTGGATAGTGTACTACACAAATATAAAACACTTTCATCATTATAGAAAGTTCTATTAGACAGGGCTGACCTAAACTCTCTCCTTAGGGGATCTCACCCAGTCCCATGGCTTTAAATATCATCTATATGCTAATGAATTCGAAATTTATACCTCTAGGGCTGACTTAGCTTCAGATTTGTGCATAAAACTGTCTATTTGACATAGCCACTTGGATATCTAATAGGTTATTCAAACTAAAGTCCAAAACAGAACACTTCATTTTCTCCCCTTCTCCTAACCACAAAAGCTTGTTTCTCCTCCAGTCTGTTTATTCTTTCTAAATAACGCCATCTAACCAGTTTTGAAGCCCAAAATCTAGGAGTAATCTTGCTTTCTTTTTCTTCATTCCCAATATCAAATCCATCAACAAGTTTTATTGACTTCCCCTATAAACTATATCTCAAATCTGTCCTCTTCTACTTCCACTGTTATCTCCCTTGTCCAAGGTTTTTGCCTGGCCTACTGTCCTATTTATATGACATCCCCTGCACTTAAAAGTGTCTAGCACATAGCAGATGCTCATTAAATGTTGAATAAATTACAATGTACAATCCTAAAGAATAGTGTACAATACTAAACAGTACAAAATACTCCGAACTTTTAAGAAACTTAAAAAATATGCATAGTAGATAATTGCCATAGAAACTTTAAGAAATAGATTTAAGAAGATAATAAAAATCACACTCCAAGACAGACTTTACTTAGGATTTGTTATGGACCACATATCATCATTCATTTTACCATTAATATGTTTTTCATGCTTTTTGCAGCACTATAATTTACTTCTGTGAATCTGTTTTCTGAACTGTCAGTACAACTCACCTTCCAGAGAAATTTTAGTTGTTTCTTCTCACTCAGCATTCACTTTCCTGATTAATCTACTACAGTTTCTTGACCTCTTGATTATCTATATGGCCCAGGACTCAGCTTACCCGGTAAACATTTTTGTTCAGGAATTCTTAATTTTGTTTCTGTTCCTGCCTGCTACCTAGCTGCTCCCTGCAGTCCTTGACTTCCTTGACAGGAAAACTTAACAGTTTGACCCTTGCCTTAAATCAGAATAACTCAACCAGTAACTCCAAACAATGTCTGCTACTCCACCCTCTTTGACTCTCTGAATTTACTGGCCTGCCCCACACGCTTGATTGCTTCCATTCTTTCCATCTGCATGCCAAGTGTGGTCAAAGTGATTTTTCCTACAGATATAGGTAATTGCAATAGTGAGGGGATGGGGTAACAGGAAACGTAAGAGTCTCCTTTAAGTATTAAATCTTCCCTAATATGGAGCTTGGGGTCTAGAGCCAAATAATTATTACATCTCCAACATTTGCATTGCATGTTTCAGCTTACAAAGCCATTTCACACACATTATCCTTACAGCAATCCAGAGGCTATATAGTTTGCCTACCCAACCTCCCTCCCTCCTTCAACTTCCTCCTTTCCAAGAGAATGCCCATTTTGTTCAGTATTCACCATTCAAACAACGGCCATATACTATAGATGAGTTTTCTTCCATCCTCCACTCCTACCTTTGGGGTCTCTTTCCTTTTATGCATGGGCATAAATGATGCATGATATAAATATGGCCAAAAGGAGGGAAAGAAAGTCTCCTATAGGGGTTCTGGAAAAGGTTTTCTCGCCTTTAAAAAAAGATCTAATGACAAATAACCTCTTTTTTGGTTCTGGAGATTGCCCTGCGTGGATGTAACTTCTGGGACCACTAATATCTCTCTTTAAGTATGAGGAAAGAGAGTCTCAGGGTGAAGCCATTGCTGGCAATGGCAGAGTGGGCAAATAAGACAAAAACATATCCTTTGTAACATTCTTGAGCTATTTTTCATACTACACCAGAGGCCATACCTCTGGACTTCCAACTCTACCTTTGTAAGTCCACAGGATTCTAATTCCAGAGACACTGACTTTTAAGTCCACAACTATGAACTTTCTCCATCACTTACTAGCTAAGAAATCTTAGATAAATTATTTAACTTTTATGAAATCTACTTCACTATCTGTAAAGAAGGGAATAATATCCACTTTTGGCCTCATTGTGAGAATGTAGGGTTAAGAGGCTTTGATGGAAGACTGAATTTGGAAAGTGTTGTGAGGTCCATGAGCCAGGAAATGATGCATCCACAAAGTCTCCCAAACTTGCCATCTGGTAGGAACTGACACACTGGTTACACAAGCAGATCCCAGGTGACTTCCCTGGAGATTCTGATTCAGTAGCCCTCTAGTGGACCTTGGGAGCCTGCACTTTTAAAACCACATTCTAGGCTCCAGGCAAGAGTGATGATCAGGCAAGTTTGAATTTAGCAAAGGAATAGATGTAGTACTTCCATGCAGCAGGAGTTAGGATTTCTGGTTTCTAATTCTAGATCTGACACTATTCCACTTGGCCAAGCAGTTGCACCTTTCTGAATCTGTTTACTCATCTGTATACCTCTCCTATATAACTTATAGGCCTATGATGGACCCTTAGAGGCAAATTACATTTGGGGTGAAGGGGCTTCTTTAATCTTAGTATTCTCACATCGCTGTAATATGAATTAGACACAATAATAAGCAAAATTGGACCAGATGTGGTGGTTCACACCTGTAGTCCCAGCTATTTGGGAGGCTGAAGTAGGAGGATCCCTTGAGTCCACAAGTTCAAGGATGCAGTGAGCTGTGATCCTGCCACTGCACTCCAGCCTGGGCGACAAAGCAAGAGCTGTTTCAAAAACAAAAAAAAAAAAAGCAAAATTGGGATCGGAGGAGGTGTTGGCAGATCATCATTTTGGCTGAGGACACTAAGAACAAACTGGGAATGCTCTGTGGTAAAACAGTATTAACTGCAGGACTATGCCTTCTCTATCCCGCTGCCTTGAGTCAATAGCTTCCACTTTTCTCATGCATAAATCGAGGTGATCACCCTCAACCACTCTGGCCATACTGAGAGCTGTGAAAACGCCTAGAAAAGTTAAAAAAAAAAAAAAATTAGTGTTGGGAAAGAGGGAGTTTGTTTGAGGGCCCTACATTCAATTTTTCTTCCGAGAGTACCTTTTACTGGCAAACACTTTCAGTAATGTCTGTATGTGCAACAGAAACATTTCTCTTCGCTTTAAAAGAAGAAAGAAACAAAAAAAGCGATGTATGCCATTAGCAGCAGGAGGAATTCACAAAGTTGAAAGAGCTGGAACACCTCCTAACTTGGGAGTTTTGGGGCCTTAAAGGGTGCGGCCTGACGGGTGGAAAACAAAACTTCTCCGGCGATTAACTTCCCGAATTTCACCTTATGCTCCGGCAGCAGAAGCGCAGGATTCGCAGGGCAGCCCTGAATCGCCGCAGAGCCCCGCCCACCAGGAGGCGTCCCTTCGGCGTTTGAGTCTCCCGGCGCCCGTAGTGGCGAACTTTGACCGCTCGTGCGCGGCCGGCTCCAGGGAACAGCACGCATGCGCCGCTTCTTTGCATGGTGTGTCTCCTCATTCTAGCTGCAGCGGCAGGAGCTGTGGCGGTCCTCCTAGTCCTGCGATTATGGATAGTGCTCCGTTCCCAGGACGTTACGCCCCGGCAGTCTCTCAGTGTCTTGGTAGTGGCGGGGTCCGGTAAGTATCGAGGCGGTGACTGTCGGGCTTGGGTGGGCACTACAAACCCCAGAGTGCACCGCGCCTCTCTTCTCTGGTTCCTTTAGCACTTCTTGGAGCATTGCATGCTGAGCTTTGTAGTTTTTCTGTTACCGGAACCGGTCAGCCCAGCCAGGGCAAAATGCCTGTTTGCGGACCCAGCCCTGGCGTCTTTTAATGACAAGTTGAATAACTCACACTTGTCTGTAATTAAGCTTCTCTGTAGCGTATATTTTTCTAACAAATAAATCAGTGAACAGAGAGGACGCAGAAGCCTTTTGATGCTAACATGCAGTTTCCTTGTACGGCTGTTTTGCAGTGTTAATCTAATCTAGGCATTCGGTATTTAGGAAACACGAATACTACATGATAAATGAGGCAAAGTGAATTGCCAAATTTATAAATATACAAAGTCCACGATGATAAAAACAGTGACCTACGGAACGTAGAACATTATACACACAGTGGCAGAGTATGAACAACAAACTGTACTGTAAGTTGATACAATCTGAATCCACCAGCTTTGTAGGCGCTTACAATGTTAAATGGACAGTTTTGACAGGGGTACACATATGGTGTATACATGAGGAAATGCCAGGAAATTGCACCTAGAAAGAAGAATATTTATAGTATAGCAAATGTACTAAATTTATGTTCAAGTGTAATTCATTACTTTATTCACTTAATATGTTTTGAGCCGTAGGAGAGGCCAGGCACTAAGCTAAGCTTTGGAAATAACAAAACTGATCAATATACTTGCCCTGTAGTGGTGACTATGTGCCAAACACGTTGAAAGTTTTGAGGATACAGTAGTGAAATGAAATGAAATGGAGAATAAAAAAACCTAACAAAACCAGATGAGTATTTGCCATGATTAGATATTAACGAGTGCTATAATCTTGTAATAATTGTGTAAGAAGTACAAACTGCTATGGCAGTCTTCAGAAAAGGCACCACTTTATCTGAACTTGAGCTAGGAAACTTCCTGGAAGAAGTGATGTTAAACTGCTACTTGAAAAATGACCAAGAATTAGCCAGACAAGGGAGAGCTGGGGCTTTTAGGGCTATGAAGGTATGAAAAGAAGGTGGTAGCACTTGGAATGGCCAGAGATGAGACAGCACTATTGCACAGAGTTTGATGTGGAGAGGTAAGCTAAGTCCAGATCCTAAAGGATGTTTTAAACCCTGCTTTATAGGATATTGCTACTACTCTACTGTTCTGTATAATATAGATTTTAGGACCACAGGCCTCCAGATTGCAGTAACTCTAGAGTTGATTCACATCTCTGCCACTTCCTACTACCTTAATACTTCCTACTACCTAATACTACCTTAATCTTGGACAAATTATTATAGTTAACCTCACTGAGTTTTCTGTTTCCACATGGCTTGAGAGAGTTTAGGAGAGATTAAATGTGATGGTATTTAAAATGTTTAGTAAAGTGCTTGGCATATAGTAAGCATTTACTAAATGGTGATTGTTAGTCTTGGTAGCAAAGGGATCTTTTAAAATATTTATTTATTTGTTTGTTTATTTTAGAGACAGGATCTCACTCTGTTGGTTAGGATGGCCTCAAACTTTTGGGCTTAAGCAATCCTCCTGCGTCAGCCTCTTTAATAGCTGGGACTGTAGGCAGGTGCCACTGCGCCTGACTTGAAGTATTATTTTTAAACGGAGAATCACTCAATTCAACCTGAGTGTTTACAAAGATTACCCAGCCTGCATTGTCAAAGGAATGTCTTGACAAAGACTGAGGTAGAGAAATCAGTAGGAATCTTTGAATAATTCAGATGAGTAAAATGATAGCCTGACTGCAGTGTGTGGGGATGGAAAGGAGCAAATGCATTCAAATGAGATTAGGAGATTTTAGGAGATAAATCCACAACTGTGGATTGAAAGTAGAAAATGAAAGAGGGAAGGACTAAAGGATGATTTCCAGATTTTTAACTTGAACAAATGGATGGATGTGAGTGTGAGAGCTATTCACTTGACAGTACTAGATTTAGTGGACTAGAAACCAAAATTAAGATTGAGAATTCACATCGCAAGTGATGCCTTCATTCAAGTCACTGAGGGTAGAGAAGGATCAAGGGCCTCAGAGAATCATGCAAGTCAAAGAAAGACTTGTAATCAGACAAATAGTTTAATAGTTCATGCCCAAATTTTGGAAGAGGAAGAAGGCATTTTCAGTCTTTACCTTGAAGACCAAGCAACATTTAATCTTTAGGTGCCATAAAAAACTTAGTTGACCACTTGTGTTCAGAGACCATCTATCAAAACTACTCATTTTCCTTGAAACACAACATGGTTTTATGTTCTCTCATAGGAAAATTTTAGATTTAATATCAAACTCTCATTCATTCAGCAAGAGGAGGGCCTACTATTTTCTAGGCACTGGAGGTACAACAGTACCAAAATGAACAAAAACTGTTGCCTTCATGGTGCTTGCCTTCCAGTTGGGCAGGGATGCGGGGAGATTAAAAAAAAACAACAAATAGACTACATAGTAAAGTATATAGTGCTAAATATTATACTATGACATGGGGAAGGGTATCCAACAGCCAGAAGGCCAGGGTGGCTGGAGTAGACTGAGCAAGTGGTAAGAGGCAGGAGATAAGGTATAAGTGGTAAAATATAGTTAGGGTTCAGATCACGAGAAGCGTTTTATTCCACATGAGACATGAAACCATTGGAAGGTTTTAATCAGAAGTAAATAATTCAGTCAACTCTTTTTAATAGTATCACACTGGATGGTGTGTTGAGACAGATTGAAGGGGAAGGGGGTGGAAGGGAATAGACCAGGAAGCTATGCTCATAATCCTTATGAGAGATGATAGTGGCTTGGAGCAGAATGGTAGCAAAGGAGGTGAGAAGTGATTGGGTGCTGGATATGTTTTAAGGTAGAACTGAGAGGATTTTATTCCCCCAAAATATATCTTAATAAAAAAGTAAAATGGAAGACAAAGTCCATTATTTTAATGACTTTATTCAGTAACAAAATTAAATTTCCAGTGAATGTATTTTCAACCTAAATAGCAAACAGAGAGAGAGATTCTCCAAAGACAATAAGTCTATTCAGGAATGAGCATTACAATATGGAATATGCTCACTACAGGAAACTATGGGAGTATTCATGGAGGCAAGGGAAGACAAGAGTCTTTGAAGGTAAAATGAGGGCATGTAAGATGTTTTGAAACAATTAGCCTTGGCTACAAGGATCAGTAACAAGTGTGGTATCAGTCTAAGACTGGACAGGTAGTTGCTGGGTAGGTGTTCTTGCAGAAGTATTTTTTGTGTAAGGTTGCGGAGGCCTTTCTGCAAGGTTGTGGTTTTGGTATAATCTTTTGTGAGAGTTCTTGCTATCAGGCAATCGTACATATGTGAGAACCCTCCTCTCATGTCCTTCCTAGCTCCATTTTGTCAAGATTTGACACAAGTGACTCTATTTTGATTCTGACAACCTTCATAGTATACAGTCAGGGTTTCTTTTTTAAAAAAAGAGAAAAAGAAAAAGACTGTTAAAGCAGGTATAATGAAATTTTAACTGTAGTGGAAGGTGTTGTGGATGTTAGGTTTTATCCTTAATTGTTCCAACTGTAAAAACAAGTACCTATTTTGCAAACCACCACATTTATTCAAGGCTAAAACTAAAAATACTGAAATAAGTATAAACCAGATGTGTAAATTACATGCCCCAGTCAAAAAGATGGGTGACAAGTTATAAAGTTAATATATGATTCTAATTCCTGAAATTCCCAGTAAATCTATGCCATATTTCTTTCTATATCTAATTCCTTCTGGCATCTAGAAAGAAATCCTTTCTGTTCTATTATAAAATATATGTGTGTGTGTGTGTGTGTGTTTAGGGGAAACACATCCTTAATTTGTTTGATTATCTTTTTGTGTGTTTGTGTATCACTATTAAAAGCTCTTTTCTTACAATAAGGAAAGTGGGGTGGGGGAAGCTTTCTAGGTAAGGGAAACAGCATGACCAAAGGCAAGGAGGGGGTAACAAATAAGAAGAATGCAGAGAATGTTAAAGACATGAACCTGACTGAGGCAAAGAGCTTGTGAAATGAAACTGAAATAGGTGTAATAGGGCCCTTTGATACAGAGTTTGATTGTAAGCTTAAATGATTTATAGGAGGAAAGCTCCGTGAATATAGTTGATTTTTAAATTCATGCTTTTGAAATTAAAGTATTAAAATTTTGGAGATTGTATGACTTCAAAAACTGTACATAGACTTATTTGGTGAAGCTGGGAAATATTTGAGGACCTGCAGTGTGCTGAAACCTCTGTAAAGAGCTGCGGTTACAGTGAACAAAAAGTCTTTGTTAGGAAGACCTAACCCCTGCTGGTCATTGCTCTTTTCTTCCCTCACTCTCTACACAGAATCTTGCAGTGACTGCCTTCCCATTTCTCATTGTACTTTTCTGACCTTACTTCACCCTAACATTTCTTCCTAATATTCCCACCACCCCTTGAACACGTCTCAGATCTTGCCATCTCATGCCCTAACTATCCTCACTCCCGCCCAGGGACCTCCCTGCACCTATTTGTGTATTACCTTCACCTTTCAAGTCATCTCAGTCTTTACTGGGGATCTTCCCTACTCTTAGGGCATTGATTTTTCATAACCATTTGCTTACCCCCACACATTTTAGTTTTTCTTGCCATGTTGCATCCTCTTTATATGTGTGCGTGTGTGTGTGTGTGTGTGTGTGTGTTGCCCCTTTCCTGCCAGTCTTCTTGATAACAGGACCTGTGTCTTATACTTCTTTGTATCTTCCTCAGTACCCACTGCTAGTGCTGATTTTATTTTTATATATTTTTTATCTTCTCCCCAATATAAACATAGTGTTTATACAAGGACATAGGTTATTATTTCCAAATGTTCCTTGTGTCTTTTGAGAAATATGCAATCACAGTGGTCTTGCCTTCCCTAAAATATGACATTGATATAACATGTACAAATGGATGTGTCCATTGTGCATTTGTTAATCTTAGGACTTCTGATTTTTTTTTCCAGGTGGGCATACCACCGAGATCCTGAGGCTGCTGGGGAGCTTGTCCAATGCCTACTCACCTAGACATTATGTCATTGCTGACACTGATGGAATGAGCACCAATAAAATAGATTCTTTTGAACTAGATCGGGCTAATAGAGACCCTGGTGACATGGTAAGTAATCATTTCTATTTCTAAGAAAGTTACAAATTGTACATTGAGTCTAATTGTCTCTGGAAATAATCTCATGGCACTTCAGTGCCGTACCCATAATAGGCAGTCAAATGTTTACTGGTGATGAAATTTATGTCCTTTACTACCAAAAGGCAAGAATTTCTATAAATTAAATCTTCAAATTAAAAAGTAGTTGCTTAACTTTTTATATTTTCCTTTATTCTTTTAAATAGAACAGTTTTTCATTGAATTCAACTATGAAAATTGTTTTATTTAACTTACATACATAAGGCCTCCAGTTCATTTGGTTACTGGCTCTTCATTAAAGGTATCGGTGTATTGCTTTTACTGATAATTTGATTTATCTACAGCTGCTTCTTATTCTCCAAATCATATTTGTATCTGCCTTTAAAATTACCTCTGTATTGCAGAGGTTGGTGAAGTAAAAGAAAATAAATATTAAAATTTTAAAATTAAGAAAAAATTAAAAGAAAAAAAAATACTTCTCTTCCCCTGGTTGCTTGCTTCATTTTAGCATTTTAGTTAGAATTTGGAGTTTTCTTTTTTTAAAGGTAAAATTACTTCTTTATTAAGGAAGGAAATTAAAGCTGTTTCCTATATAAAGTGTCTCCATCTATCCCTCTCTGGGCACTGGCCAGCCACAGGTTTGCAATGGGTAGTTCGAGAGTGGACAGCTGAAAAAATACCAGAGGGGACAGCTGACCCAGCTCAGGCTAATCAAAGTCTTTCTCTGGGCTTTTTGGACTTGGAGACCCAGAGAATGGAGTCAGTCTCTCTTCAGGGGCAAGCTCTGTAAAAGATACAACTTGAGAGTTGCTGGCAGTCATGTTTTCACCTGTTAGATAATGATAGTCTATAGATAGAAGAGTGAAGATAGTAAACAGCAAGAAGATGAGAAACCCGGTGAGTTCTGCCTGCAGTGTGACTCTAGAGGCCCTGCTGCATCGGTGTAGACCCTGCCTTTGTGGTTCTTCTCTTTCTTAGAAATCAGGATCCACTAATATAACCCCTCCTCCACTCACCTGTTTCCACCCCCACCACACATATTTTTTAAAAACCTGATTGAATTGAGTTTTGGTCAATTGTAAATATGATTCATAAGTAACATAGTACTAAAATGTGCTCTTGGAAAATCCATGGCAAACAAGATCGAAATGGGAATCTGCTTGTTATCATTCAGCCATAGGGACTTCATCTTAACTTGATTACATCCTCAAAGACCCTATTTCTAAGTAAGATCACATTCCCAGGTTCCAAGTAGACATGAGTTTTGGAGGGACACTTTTCAGCTCAGTGCAGATCCGTACACTAAACTATTTCCGGAAAGTCTATTTGACATAAATAAAGCAAAAACAAACTTTTTCCTTTTAGAAAGTGTTAGAGAAGAAAATAGAAGAGCCTGTTGAGTATGCCAGTAATTGTTCCTTTCAATAATTGTGAGGCAGATAGTAGTATCCTCATTTTACCAATGAGAACATTGAGGCTCAGTGGTGTAAATAACTCAACCAGAGTCCCACCAAATATGTGTCACTGACCTCCACGTGCTTTCCCCAAAGCCTGTGCTTCTCCCACAGAGCGACTCTGCCTCCTTTGTGTATTCTTTTCCAATTCAAAAAACTCAGTGAGAGAAGAATCCCCTAGGAGTTCTCATCCAAGGCAACAGACGCTAAACATGTCATTTAATGTCTTATCTTAAAGTGTATTTGAGAATTGGTAGAGAATTTGGAAAAAATGATGGTGATTTTTCACACAAGAAAAATGGAAAAAGTATTAGAATTTACCAGTGGCATAGAGCACTTAAAAATATATAAAGGATAAAATAATCACAAAATTCTTATTGTTTTTTCAATATGTGGAACAGGTATCTTTAGTTTTACCAAATTATTTGTGTGCACAGTCTTCTTTCTGAAGTTGCATCCAAATGGGAGGCTCCAATTTTAGTTTAGCATATGTATTGAATATATCCCTCTAGATCTATCACCATATGTATTATTTATTTGTTGAATTATTTCATAATTTATAGAAACATTTGGAAGATTGTTATATACTATGCATCACAACATTTTATTTATTTATTTATTTATTTTTTATTTTATTTCCTGAGAGTGCACAGAGCATCACAACATTTTAGAACTCAGTAAGTTGCTTTTGATTCACATTGGTAAGAAAGTCAAAAGATTTTGGATTTTTAAACTGCCATTATATTTTTATTATCAACATGGTACCACAGATAGGACTGAACATCTCTATTTGACTTCCTTCCTCTGTCAATTTCCTGCTGAGGCAGTGCAAGCACTGTTAGAGAACAATTCTATCCTCTTCCTGAAAGGGTCTCTACTCATGAATCTGAAGCTGGGAAGAGATGCAGAAGAGAGCCGTTGAGGATGATAATGTGGACATTTCTGCTGGCCACCCTTGTGTGCCACGCTCTGTGTGCAGTGGAAAAGGCACAGAAAGAAAAGGGCAGAGAGAGTAGAGAGATGAAGGGAGGGGACCACCTACTGGTCTCTTTCTGCACTACAGCTCAGCCATCTTTTATACTTTCCATGGAGCTCACTAAGAAGAGAGGATCTTGCTGAAAAAATCAATAGTGATCAATACATTTGCTGGAAGAGCCCATATCAGCCATGAATAATGAACAGTCTAGACCTGTTTCTATCCAGTATGGTAGTCACCAGCCACATGTAGCTATTTATATTTCAATTTAAATTAATTAAAGCTTAATTTTAAAATTTGGCCCCTTGATTACACTAGCCACATTTCTAATGTTCAGTGCAGAATAGAACCCTAGACACTTATCTGTATTTTTCTTTTCTTTTTTTATTACCTTTTTCTTTTTTTTCTTTCTTGGCTTTTCAATACTGTTGTACATAGACACAAATCTATATCATATAATCTTTATTTATAATTATAAGCTGAAAATAAAACGTGATCATACATTATTATAAAGAGAATTAACAGGTTCAAAGCAAAAGTCCCCTGTCAAAACAGTTAATATAGAAATACATCTTCTACAATATTTTTTTAAAAAGAAAAAATAAATAAAAGAAATACAAAATAACTTTTTGGTTTTTTGCAAGACAGTCTCACTCTGTTGCCAGGGCTAGAGTGCAATGGGGTTTTCGTAGCTCACCACAACCTCAAACTCTTGGACTCGAGCAATCCTCCTGTCTCAGTCTCTGGAGAAGCTAGGACTACAGGTATGTGCCACCAAGCCCAGCTAATTTTTTTAATTTTTAATAGAGACAGGGTCTTACTCTTTTTTTTTTTTAAGACAGAGTCTCACTTTGTTGCCCAGGCTAGAGTGAGTGCCGTGGCGTCAGCCTAGCTCACAGCAACCTCAAACTCCTGGGCTCAAGCAATCCTCCTGCCTCAGCCTCCCCAGTAGCTGGGACTACAGGCATGTGCCACCATGTCCGGCTAACTTTATCTATATCTATTAGTTGGCCAATTAATTTCTTTCTATTTATAGTAGAGACGGGATCTTGCTCTTGCTCAGGCTGCTTTTGAACTCCTAACCTCGAGCAATCCGCCTGCCTCGGCCTCCCAGAGTGCTAGGATTACAAGTGTGAGCTACTGCACCCGGCCTAGGGTCTTAGTCTTGCTCAGGCTAGTCTGGAACTCCTGACCTCAAACAATCCTCCCACCTCAGCCTCCCAGATTGCTAGGATTACAGGCGTGAGCCACTGCACCTGGCCCAAAATAATTTTTTAAATTTCATATGATCATTAAAATTCAATAAGATAGTCCATTAATTAAACAAAAATAATCTATTTTACAAAAGAAGCAATCTCAAAACAAAGATTCCTTGGAAATTAAAACAAAATGGTTATCAAAATTAAAAGTTCTGAGTCAGTAATTTTCAGGTTAAATACAGCTAAAACCTCATTAGTGAGTTGGAAGTTGAGCTAAAGGAATTCTTAGGCAAAAAAAAAACAGATATGAGGGGAAGGAATCATAAAGTGCCAGGAATGAGAGAAAAGAAAATAAAAGAAAAAAAGTCTAGAATAAATTTTTACTACATTTCTACTATCTCAGGTATATTTATTTAATTTAATTAAATCTCATCTTGACAGCAGCAGTTATATAGTTTTAACTCACCTCTGTTTCTTGTATACCATGTCTTCTTTGGAATTCATTTCATCTTTTGTTTGGCTCAAGTATTTCCTTGAGTTTTTTTTCTAGAAAGGTTATATGGGCAATGTATTTCCAGAGTCTTTCCATCTCTGAAAATATCTTTGTTGTGACATTATGCCCCATCATTTGCCTTGGTATGCAATTCTAATTGTAATGCCACATTTCTTTTCTCCTCGGAACTCTGTAAATACTATTCCATTCTCTTCTAGCAGTTGGAGTTCCAGAAAAGGAGTTTGATGCCAGTTTAATTCTCCTTCCTGAGAGTTCTGAAATTTAACCAGGTCATGTCTACATGTCTGTTTTTTCATTAATTCTTTCTGGAATTCAGTAAACTTATCATCTTTCTTCAGTTTGGCATTTTCTTCTATTTTTTCTACTTGTATGTTCTGTATACCAATCCCTTTGTCATATTATGTATGTGTCATATATATGTCATATACATATTTTCACATATACACACACAGTTGTCCCTTGTTATCTATGGGGGATTGATTTCCAGACCCCATTCACATACCAAAATTCAGATACTCGAGTCCCTTATATAAAAGGGTATAGTATTCGCATATAGCCTTAAATCATCTTTATACTTTGAATCATCTTTATTTATCATTTTTATAAATCAACTCTCTACTTTATACTTTAAATCATTTCTAGATGACTCATAATACCAAACACAGTGTAAATAGTTGTTTTGCTATATTGTTTAAGAAATAATGACAAGGGAATAAAAGTCTCTACATGCTCAGTGCAGATGCAGCCATCCATTTTTTCCCCCCAAAATTGTTTTCAGTCCATGATTGGTTGAATTCATGGATGCAAAACCCATGGATTCGGTGGGCTAA